GCGGCGACGGCTTTCGATCCAGATCCGTGGGTTTTGTACCAGGACTTTCACTTATGGCCGTCGCTAACCGGTCAGACGTATCTGACCGGCCTTTCTACCGATTTCTGACCGATTTTTCGGTAGATCTACCGATTTGTCAAGGAACCTACCGATCTACCGATACCATGAAGATTTCTACCGAAAAGTATCAAATAAAAGTTAAAAAAATTTCCGTGGATTACTTAAAATAATATAACATATTTCCATTCATGATCACAGTACGTTGGTAATAGCAGACATTTTATTTTAGCACACCTCGTATTTTAGAGTTCTTTTTCAAACTTAAAATTATCAAGCCCGCCATATACAGGGTGATTCAAAATTGGCGTCATTCCTTTTAAGAGGCTCTCTTGGGGAGTACGAGAAAAATATTGAAAATTTTTTTTTTTCGTTAATTTCTGGAAGATATTAACAGCTGAAGATCGAATTTCAACTTTGTTATTAAGCATTATTTTGAAAGTGTTCCATGTTTAATTGGTAGTATATTGGTGTTAGAGCCTTCTATGATCCACCACTGTCCAGGATCAGCGCTCCACCTCTGTCTAGTAAATAGTTTTTGGATTTTAAAATTCCCGCTGTGGGTCAATAGGGTAAGGCCAAAATGCGCAGTGTGATTGGGTGCTTTATGCTAAGAACGCACGCCTTTTTTGTAAAATAAAGTAGAGTTCAGTAGTTCCTTTGTTTGGAGTGATTTTGTCTGTTTATTAAAGTAGTTAAGCAACTATAGCTTTTTATTTCGAACCGGGTTGTGAAGTTAAGACGGGTAGTTTTATCGGACACAACAATTGGAATACTTAAGCATTCAAAAGGAAAGATTACGATCTTTGCTTCAAATTACAAACATTTTTCATATCTAAAAAGTTTTCTTCTACAATTTTGAAGAATATACAAATGGAGCAGGAGTTAATTAACTGAATACGAGAAGCTGCTTGATAAGAGTGGATAATAAAGAAATTACACAGGCACTACCTTGTTTGGAGTTAACCATTCAAATGTTTAGTGTTGTAGGGTTTATTTATAAACACCTGTGGGCTTGTGTCACACAATAAAGCACACTTAAAATAAACAACTTTTAATCAACTAACAATAAATAGAGCATAAGCGGGGTGTGCGCGCGCGAAATTGCAAACGGAGATAAGCCTTGTTCTATGACGGAGACTCCCCGTTGAGAAGGGACGCTGAGGGTCTCTTCTTGGGCGTTGGCCCTTCGAGAGAGAGATGTCTGCGATGTTGTCTCTCTCACCGCGGCCTATTTGTATGCCTGGCATCCAGCAGGGTTGCCAACGTCAGTCAACCTTTTGGGGCAAATGCGTGTTGTCAAGATTCGCCACAGGGCCATCCCCCAGCGAAGTAGCCATCGATTCTGAGCGGTTCTTTGGCTTGAGTATCTCAGAGTCGGTTGGCGTAAGAATGCTCCTCCGATACTCGGTGGGTGGCTGGAATGCAAGCCGGCTTAAGCCGGTCCATCAACACTCGTTGGGGAACGTTCTGGACATCCACCAACAAGAATTTGTCGTGGCGCTCCAGCACTCTGAATGTGTTGTCAAACTTCGCCACACACCCATGTTCGAGGTTATGAGAACAGGTTGACATTTCGTCAACAAATCTTGTTGAATTTACCGTTTATCCTTGTCTATCTTATTGTCAGTCTGTATAATTCCATGGTTACCGGAGTTTTAAATAATTGCGAAGCCACACGTATTTGCGCAATGTTAATTAGGCAGGTTACCTTGAAAAACATTGCTGCCGTATTTCTGATATAGTTTTTTGCAAATTTCTCAGTTTTTAATAACAATTAATATATTTTACTATTTTTTCTGTACTCCTATAACAGCGTCAGAAAACACCTCCAGAGGAATGACACCAATTTCGAATCATCCTGTAGATCATAAATATGATAAAATTATGTTTCCCTACAATCTATTTCTGATGTTGCAATGATATTTCCAAATCTAATAAATGATAGTTAATTACAAGGTCTGGACACAGAATGACGTCTCTTGCGAAATGTTGAAGAAATTTAAAAAATTTGTGGAAATATTGAAGTTTTGGAGCCAAGTACAAATATTGAAACATGAAGATGATACGTTCATGTTTCGAATTTTAACCAATTTTAGTTGTAACCTAAGCAGGTAGAATAAGCATTCTACCTCACTCATCAGCCAATGTTGAACGGATATTTTCACAGGCTAATCTAATGAAAACTAAGTTGAGAAATAAGCTAAAAACGAGTACAATTTCATCTTTGACATATATTAGTAGCAAAAATTGTCATAGTTTTAAAATTGAAGATAAGCTTGTGTTAATTATGAGTGGTAAAATTTTATATAAGGATTATTTGGAAGACGATAATTGAGCCGATATTTTTATTTAAAAGAAGTAGAAGTGTTTAGTTCGTAAAATTAGTAAAATTACTATTAATCATTTTATTAGCAATATTTATGATGAATATTTATTTATTTTTTGTGTTTATTTTATTTTTGTTAACAATGTATTGTAATGTTTGAAAAATATTACAAATATACCTATTGACTCGTGTTTATTTTAATATTCCTGTAAGTTGAAAAATTCAAGTTTTGAAAAACGCGCGATTATATATATTTTTTTTGGTGAGGTTTTGGACCACCCAACCAGCTATAGGTGTGCGTAACAGAGCATTTCCAAAATCTCACCGTTTTTTTACCGAAAAGTGTCGAGCTTATCTACGAAAACTCGACTTTCGGACCTGGCAACCCTGGCACCTAGGCCGTTACCGTTTGCGTTCCGTGCCGCTCGATATGAACGAATTTAAGTTCCTGTCGATGTACGTTCGTACATCCGTAGTACTGACGTAACAACCAATCCGAATTCAGTATTTGGTCGGACCAAATCAGCTGATTCAAAACATTCAATAATACAGAAAATATCTTAGGTTAAAAATTGGACTGACCGCAAACGGTAACGCCAAGTATCAAAATCGCCTTTTTCATTTTCTACGAGCGCAAACGTTAGCGAAAACCGCAACAGTAACGGCAACGTCAAGTTTATAAATCGGCCCATTTATAAAGTTGACGTTGTAACAAGAAAGCAAATTATTTATTTTTTAAAACATCGATAACTCTAATAAGTAATTTCTTTATTTGTTAAACATTTACATGTACAACACCTCTTTGTCTCGTAACTTTTATGTTGCATTATTTTGATTTATTATCAGTGCATCTTAGATTTCACGCAAATACAGTAAAAATAAAAACATGTTTTTTCAATATAATTGAATAATTTAATTGCATATTTAAACGTGCTTTTCAACTCTAGTCAACTTTCCGTAATAACAATTTTTGATTTTGTAAAAAATGGAGGTAGTTTATTCTTAAGTTCACATTTACTTAAGGACAAATGAAGAAAATGCAAACAAAATATTTGACGGTTGCATTTAGTTTTTGGACCCTTTTTTTACTACAAATTAGACCAAACCTTTCCTTATTCTCGTGTATAAACCCACCATTACACTACCTTCATTCCCTTTTAATATTCTTTACTAAGAATTTAAGTTAAAAAAAAAACTGTAAACCTTTCAAAACACCTTTAAATTTGCAATTTTCTATTATAATTATATAACGACGAAAAGAATATTACCCATAAACAAACTTACAATTTAGGACTTTAATCAGCTATTTTCTTGAATAAATGACGATAAATCAACAAATCATAAAAATATTGGTACTTTATACTTTATGTTTGGAACTTTATGTTTTCAAAGTAATTATATTTGTAAGTTCATTAACTACGAAAATTGTGAATTAAAATTGAGCTAAAAACATCAAAAAATTTAACCAATTTTTTTGAAAGTTTTTAAATAAAAAGTTGAGAGAAAGTTGTATTAATTTTCAAAAAAAAACAATTCATATTGTTAAGATTATTAAACGTGGTAATTGACACCATTTTCTAGATTTTTGTCAACAGGTACTTTGCTAAATAAACCAACATTTAAGCTTACCAGAATATTGACAACATTTAGATCGAAGATTGGACAGTTTTTCTAAGAAATGTAATGAATTTTACATAGGTATGTTACTTTTTATTTTATCTCAGATAATTCAAAATATTTATAATGTATTTAGCCAAGGCTCTATAAACTGAAGGAATATTTAGTTGTGTATTATTAAATTCGTGAAAATGTAATGTCTTAAGTTTATGTGGCGTTAATTGAGATGTTGTGCAACCTGAGAGTTCGATTGAAAATGTTAAAAGTCTAAAGTAATATTGTTATCGTTATACCTGGTTATAAATTCATCATACGGCAATTTTGCCATTCCTTACAACTCTAAAATCTTAAAGAAAAATACTCAAATAAAAGTTGCTATCAAGAAAACGTATACATTTTTAAACTTACAAACATCTTCGAGTATATTAAGTACGCGCTAATTTGTTTTTCGCTTTCAGGCTATCCGATGAGCAAGAACCAACCAGTGTGTTTCAGCCCTAGCGTTACCCGGTTAGACATAAAGGCTAAATTTGTGCCCGGAAGTGAATCCAGCAGCGGAAATTATAGCGGGACGACTACTGAGGATGAACTCTGTGATGTTGAAGAAGGTGAGCTGATTTAAACATAATATATAATAGGCACTTGAATTTGAGACACTCTGTAGCAACTGGTATTATCTTAAAATAAACTAGACGTTAATATCTACAACTTTTGTATTTAACATTTTTCTCTAAATTTCAAATTAGATGCAAAAACGAAGTGGCCTAAGTTCAATCAATATTGGTTATTAACTCAAAAACAGTTGAAAATCATTATAGAACATTTATATCGAGTAGGTGGAGAATTGTGCGAATAGTTTGAATATGCAATAAAAAGTACGGCATTCCAGTTCAAGTTTCGTCTGCCACTTGAATTTGTGACTCCCTGTACTAATTGGCGTTGTCTTAAAATAAACTAGATGTTAATATCTACAACTTTTGTATTTAACATTTTTGACTAAATTTAAAATTCAATGCTAAAACGGGGTGGCCAAAGTTCAATCAATAACCCTGTACGTTTATTAACACAACACGGAGCTACACTGTTTGTTTACACACTTCTTGTTCCCTTGATAGGAAATTCTACTAGCAGTAAAGCATTTTAACACTACATTTGATATAAACACTTTTAAAGTCATGCCTCTTAGTTGTGCTTCAATGCAAAATAAAATTTTACCTTTTTATTCAAACAATCTTATGACTTTTACTTAAATACTAAACCACCGTAACTCTTTCCTACCTTTTTCTACCATGTCGGCAGTGGGAACAGTTATTTTAGCAAGAATGGTTCAAAATGAAAAATATACAGGGTATCCCACCTTGAACCGCCGCGATCAATATCTGGCAAACTGTAATTAGGAGAAACTTGACAATTGGAAAGTGTGCGCTGAACTCATTGAAGGCAAGCGATCTAAAATATTTTCAATGTGGCCACATTTCCGGTTTTACCGGAAGTAGGTATCAATGATGCTTATTTTTAATGAAACACCCTATATATTTTCCCTTTGATGTGGATGTTGCTGATTTTGGTTACCCATACTTCAGCTTTAGAATTAAGTCCCTACTTATTATTGTACAGAGTATGTAATGTACATACAGGGTGTTTTTTTAGCGCGATAGAGTCCATTATTTCCGATGGTGTTGAACTTTCGAAAAACAGTTTCATATAAAAGTTGTTGACGCACATTTTAAAAATAACAGAAAGACGAAAAGAATATAACAGACGACTAGTCCGAATATTCGTAGACTTCCACAAAGCTTTTGACTCGATAAGCTTGGAAGCAGTATTAGAATCACTACACAAGTGCCGAGTGGACTACAGATATACAAGGTTAATATACAGGGTGTTTTTTTAGTGCGATAGAGTCCATTATTTCCAATGGTGTTCAATTTCCGAAAAATAGTTTCATATAAAAGTTGTTGACGCACAAAGTGCGCACATTTTAAAAATATCTTATATGATACAGAGTGTCTCAGAAAAGCGAGGCAAGATCAAAGTGTATTTTTTCAAATAGAACTACCCATTTTTCATTCATGCTCATGAAATGCAGCTTGAAACGCTGCATATGTACCGTCAATTGTTTTTTTTTCTCTTGTGACGGTGGCAGAGTATCGCCATTTTAGTAAAATTTTGCTAAAAAACATGGCATCTAAAAATTAATTGTGGAAGCAAAAAAATGTATTTAAAGATACAAAAAATACGTTTTCCAGTCACCACAGGTCCGTTAAGAATTCTGTTGAACCAAAATATCAATACATTCTACAGGGTGTTAACCATGTGGGACTTCAATCTCAAACTTTTTACCGCAATATAACTTTTGTTTTTCAAATGAAAGTACCTGTATATTAATACGTCATTAGATAGATAGTTTACAAAGTTACCAATTTGCATTTACACTTTAAGCTGTGAAATCAACCGTTTTCAAATTATAATTTATTTTATTAAAAAATTTGAAAAAGTTTCTACATTTCGTAAGGTGGCTGTGGAAGTCAATAAATAAGTGTCAAAATTTGAATTGCCACTTTTAATTGCTCATTTACCTAATTATATCACAGAAAGAATGTGGCATTTACATTGGAGCTCCAGTTCACCATACAGTTCAAATTCACGAGTACCTAAATAATGAATTTCCTGAGAGGTGGATAGGCAGACGTGGGCCTGTTCAGTGGCCACCTCGTTCACCCGATTTGACAAAAATGGATTTTTTTATGGGGTTACGTCAAAAACGAAATTTATAACGGAAACGGATGTTCACGGAAATTATATTGAACATTTATTTTAAAATGTCACTGTCGGTATAATTTTACATTTTCATTTTTACATACGTATGCAGTTTTATTGCATTTTTTGCTATGAAATTCCATCCATTTTATAAAACGTTGCACTTTTCTTCATTGATAATGACAAGTATCATCCAATTTTGACATTTATTTAATGAATTCCATAGCCACCTTACAAAATATAACTTTGATAATAATGATGTTTATCATTTTATATTAAATATGAAAGATTACAAAATAGATATATAAATATTGATTATTTGTTGTTACAAAATAAAATAACAAATAATAGAACATATTATTGCATTAAAAGTTATTAATAATAGTTGTCACTTTATTTGCACTTAATCTTGAGCGTTTTTCATAAATTGACCCTGGCTTCTTTAAAAAATATCCGCTCAACATCTGGTTTAACAAATGTCTCCGATGAAAATCACTAAACAAGTAAGTAGTAATATTTTACCGAATCGTGCAATACAATGCAAATGGCGATCATCAGGGCAGCATCTGAACTACAGACGGAGAATAAGATAGGGAATCGTTACCGGGATTCTATCGATACGATTTAATTTAATTTAATCTTTTCTTGATACGAATTTGCGTCCGCAATCAATCAGGCGATTTAAAATAGGTCCAACAGTTTTTCAAAACTTCAAAACAAAAATGTAACAACTTTTTGAAATTTTTAAATAAAATAATTTATAATTTGAAAACGGTTGAGTTCACAGCGTAAAGTGTAAAATTGGTAACTTTGTAAATTGTCTATCTAATGACGTATTAATATTGTACCGTGGATGGCCGAGTATCTAACTCTTTCTTCAGCTTCCAACTTTTATTTACCTCGGTATAACTTTAAATACGGAACAGGAACAAACTAACTTCTAAATTAACGTCAACTTCACAAACAATAACAA